TTCGGGATGTGTGGTCTATTACTCGTATTTCGTCACAAATTACGTCATTATGTATGCATTCTATTTTTGTCAATGGCAATGCTGGAGCAAAAGCCACAGCAACCGACCATCGTGAAGACTAATGAGATGCATGCTTTAATTTTCAGATGAAAAAAAGGTTCTTACTAATTAGATCAAAATTCAAAGCTCACCCTAGCCTCATTGAGTTTCAGCTTTGGCCAATAAAAAACATTGTCTTGCAAAATATTCAACATATTAGTTTAGTGAAAATTCGCATCACAGGGAGCCTTGGCTTAGAGTAGTTTTCTGCTAAAATTATGAATGAACAGGGCTAAAATGCGGAGGTAAATTCGCGGGCTCACCCGCTTCCTCTAAAAGTGCCAATGTTTTCGAAAAAAAATCAAAATCCGCTACTATTAATCTATCAACCTATTTCCTAACGGCGGTTTATTTTTATTTGAAAACGTTTTTATGTTTGCGCTAAAAGGGCTTTTCAATGAAAACCGCTCAGTTTTCTTGTCACTTGCAAAGTTTTCATAATCCAGCGGTCATGGTTTTTTTAAAACAAATTTGTACATGCACATACGTGTTTTGGTCCTCATTATAAATCCTTTTAAACACAGGAGCCCCGCTTAATAATAATTTTTCGTAAGGTTGAGCTTCCTGATAATATGCTATGTCAAATAGAGCAAATCGGCTGACCATGCATAAAAACCATTAAATACAGACTCCTAAGAGTATAAGGACGGAATTAGACTGGGGAATCAATTATAGAACCCCATTACAAACTTGAATTTCAACAATGGCACTGAAATTGTCTAAACTATAAGATTTTTTGGTAGGAGATTATACAATTATGATGGCTATAAAAACGTTACCTACAATATTGGATTTAAATGTTGGGAAATTGTGAGTTGATGTAAAACATTAAAAAAAAAATTCCTATCCCCTCCCCTAAACGATGTTGTTTCCATATGGAGACAGGCAAAGCAGTGCTACCTATTGAGACCAACATTGTCCTAGGGAAAAGGGAGTACGGTAAATCAAACACGGTTTTTCATGAGGAAAATTGTACTTTTTAATGATTGGGTGCAAATTTCTCAACTCCTTTTGTCCAAGATTGTATATCTTTATTAATTCTACTGCACCTGCCTACTTTAGGAAAAAAATTAAACCTTTTTTAAAACTTCGATTTTCCGAATTGAAATTTAATGCTGATTCCAAATCTGTAAAGAAAAATTAATTGGGTGTCCCGAGCTCGTTTTCGAGATAATCAGTATTTAATGGAAGCCTACGCGCGAGCTTTTGGAGCAAAGATTGCTCCACAGGAAGTGACCAGAAAAAAATTAAGWTTCATAAGATACTAGTTACTTGCAGACTCTATGATTGCACGAATGAAGACTAGTCAATCATTCTACAATAATACATGCATATTTTCGACAAAAGGACAAAGAGATACACTGATTTGTCATATTTTGTAGTTTGGGCGGGTGCTCTTAAAAAATATCATAAAGTCGTACAAAAATTCCTACAAAAATCTATTTCTTTCGTGTGTTAGAAAAATTAACTTTTTCTAAATGTTGATATGACCTAGATTCTTAGGAGTTGTTTTGAATAAGCTATTAAAAAATAGAGAGTTCCGTATAAAATTTGAGGGTTTTCCCCTGTTTAAAAAGCTCAAAACGCGTATGGTCCTTCAATAAAGTCTTGTGGACTTTTCAGCAGTTTTTGAGCTCGCGCACATTTTAGGCTCAAATCGAACGTTCAAAAGTAGGCAGCCACCTTAAAAAAAGAATTTCAACAAAGGGAACCAAGGAAAAACTTTTTGTGAGGTTGGGCTTCCTGCATGTTGTTTCATGTTATTCTATAACTTTTCACACAAAAATTTCAATAAAAATCTTTCACTCACCCCATTCTAGTCTTCGTCTTTTCTTGAACAGTGTATATGAAAGTAATGACCAAACCAGGATTATTTTATTTGATATTTTAAAATTTCTTAATTGCTTTATTACTTTCTTTCTTTCTTTTCAGATAATTTTATTGCTGAACTTTTTTTTGTTGAATTTTTTTTTCAAATTTCAACACAGTAAAACTCAGAGCACTTTGCATCCAATGATAGATCGGATCCGCAAAACTATAGACCAATATCTGTCCTTCCTGCCATATCTAAAATTTGCAAAAGAGTAGTGAATAATCAAATGTATACTTATCTGAAAAGAGATAGATAATTTGCTTACGAAATACCTCGTCCTCTTCATTCCTCCGTTACAGCTCTTTTCAATACCATAAACCATTCGCATTTGAATATTGACAAAGGTATGACAAATCTAGTGGTCAAAGCAAAAGCTTTTGACTCTGTTTCAAATTTTATCTTGCGAAAGAAATTAGAGCTTTATGGAGTGAAAGAGACATCTTTTGATTGGTTTAATTAAGCAATGGTCAATGCTTAGCGTGCGTGAATCTATTGCTGGTACACGCGGATAGTTGGAAGAGCATGATGGTAGCGTGAGAGTTATAGCTCTGGCTACCAGAGTGCTCTCCCAGCTATCCAAGTGCACCATCAATAGATTTACACACTGCTAGGGCATTGACCATTGCTTTTATTACATAAAAAACACGATCAAAACTGTTTTATTTCCCCTGCGTCCACTGTGTGACATAATCTGTACTCGTACTTCTTAATTTTGCAGTTACAGTCAAACCAGCTAATGCGTTCCTATCAAGGCTATAAGATTCAGTTAATTATTCAGAATTTGATTTTGAGTTTGTTTTGAAACTTGCATTTAATAATACGGGCACAGATAAAAATCGCTTTATGTCTTCTTTGTCAAAACCAAAATTATTTCACTGATAGCTTCCAACTCAGTTAAACCTATATGTGTGGTGTGATAGCATTTTTGAGTTAATGCCGGGAACGAAGATCATTACAACCGCCAATACAAGTTTCAAAACGAATTCGAATTCAAATTTCTGTCTATATCGGCAATGAGCATGTTTGGCGCCATCGACAAACATGCTCATTAACAATCCTCTTAAATCTTTTCGTTCTTTAGCCATCGGTCCCTTTACTTCAATGTTACAGCTGTGTCGTATATATTTTTCTACTGTGTACATCAGTATTTCTTGAAGGAATACAAATCTTGGAAGACAGTTTCGTTTCGAATTTACCTAATCGTCAACAAAAAGATATAACTAGCTAAAAACTAGTGTGGTCAACAAGCTTGGTCAGGTGCCTCGGACTAGAACTATAATTGCTTGGACTTGAAATCCCGTCCAGTCCTCATTGTCGGCTTTGAAATATTACATCACGATCAAGAAGATTGGTGTTGTGACTAACACAACATAAAAGATAGGTCCTAGTTCATGACGGCGTGTTTTATTGAGGATCGAGTCAGAATACGCTTGCGCGCGTTATGACGTGTTAACAATGATCAATTAACATATTAGAACACAGGTAGCCCAAGCGAGCGATATTTATGACAATTTGATACATGTCATATAATGTGCACGTGGTCTAACGAGTTCAACCTTCATGTCCTGTGTGGTATAGATGATTGTGCGAAGACCTACAAAAATGTTCTCTTTTACAGAAATCATCTGATTCGCAAGCACATCATCACCGGCGAAAGATGCACAACGCGATTCAGAATATGATGACTCTGGAAGTGTTTGAGTGATCTAGCGCAAGTGAAGCTGATCGGATCGACGAGATAGGAGGGCCAAGAACCTTACCATCGTTCCGATCGGGCAAAGAATGGACAATTTGACCCACATAAAAAGCCGAAAAAATGAAAGCGGCATATGCTTTTTCCCTGGTGAAACTTAAAGAAAGAGGTCGAGTGCTACAAGCAATTATAGATTTGTGTACGATACGTCAGAGTTAAAACTACTCTAGGGTCGTATCAACAAAAGGAGTTGAAACAACGCCCGTCAATTTTACTCCAAAAATAGTCAAACTTACTTTGGTTGTTTTCGTCAAACATGATTAAAAAAACTATGTTTTTTTAAATCTTAAAATAGGTTCAAACCTACTCTAGCATTGATAATGTACTCTTTATAGTAATGTTCAACTGTTCATCATTTCCAAAGAGTTAAATTACTCTTGGAGAAATACAAATTGCTCTTGGAAGCGTTAAGATTGCCTTCATTGTAGAGTAGATTTTTAAACTCTCTTTCAAGTTACTCCACTATGTAGAGTAACTTTAACTCTTTTGGTAGAGTTATATCAACTCCTGAAAAAAAAACTGTCAGAAAGATACATGTTATTTAGATAACCATCACCAACCCAACTACATTACATCTTCTGCTGAGATATCTATTACAATGAATTCCAAATCGAATTTTCAATTGGAAATTCTTAACTTCGCTAAAACAAGAGGACTAAAAATTGGGTCCTTCGCCAATATTTCAAGTCTTGTTAATATATAGATGAATTGAAAATAGTAATTAATGATTAAATTTTGACATATTGGCAATAAATGAAACAAGGCCTGACGAGAACACATCAGAAGAATTTATAAAAATAGATACTTTGCCAGAAATCTCGGACATTTTGATCCCACGGTCAAGTCAGCGGAATTACCCATCTGAGATATATTCAATATGGCGACACTCACAAAGAAAGACTATGGTGAGTAGGGTGGCCGAGAGGGGTCATCCAAAGTCGAAATGCCAAACTGCCCAAATCGAAAATCGATACACGCTGAAGACAAAGT